GATATATGCACGAAACACTGGAAAATGACCATTTTCCCTTCTACCTGGCGACCATTTAGCCACTCTTGAATAGTTTATCTATTTGAGCTCTTGCTTTTTCTGAAATACACAATTATAGTATCTACTCACAGTAAAACTTTCAAGTCAATTGCTTATATCATTGATGAGACAGATATGTCACAAAAGTCACAAAAAATGAGGTTTTTCACCGATAGTTTTCTGAGAAACGTTTCAATATCTCAAGAACGGAAGAATATTTTTTCAAACAGGTTGTATTCAAATTCTTAAAACTCTTACCTCTACAACATATCTTAAGTTAGGCAAGGTTGGACGACTTCGATGTAGCTGCCTCTCGGAATATTTGTCTCGATTTATTTGAAATGGCTAATAGCTGGAATTACATTTTCTTTCTTGCTTCATAGCGTATTATGCAACAAATACAACCACAACCAACAGTACTACACTAATGAACAGTACAACACCGAATATGAATTCGACATCAATCTTGGCTACAAGTAAGCAAGAGCTTTAAACCACCATTCACCTTCTTTTCTAAATGATGCCAAAAATTGTTCCCTCGTATTCTCTCTTCTCGTAATTTTCCCATCCCAAAACATACCGTATTCATTAGATTAATATTAATCTATTCAACAATAACTTACCCAGCAGCAGTCGCGCTAAAAAATATTCATGTGGAGACAACTTTGGAAAAATCAATCATATTTATACGAGACATTGTATCATTTATCCATTTCTTAGATTCATCGACCAACCTTTTCACCAATACCACCATCATGGTAACGTTAAGCAACAGTAACAGCTCCTCCAATATGAGTGGGTTACTTTCGACAACCGCCAGCGGATCCACAATATCAAGCCCGATAATACTCAGCTCTTCCACCGTATCATTCAGTTCAAACACATCAGGAGGCACGGTCGCCCCAACATCCATAACACTCAGTGTGCTTACAATTTCGGGTGCGTCAACAACATCAGGTGCATCAACAGTTTCAGGTGCTTCAACAAGTCTCGGAGGATCAACAGTCTCTGGTGGCTCGACATCATTAGGTGCATCAACGATTTCAGGTGCCTCGACAACATTAGGGGGATCAACAGTTTCAGGGGCGTCTACAAGCCTTGGAGGATCAACAGTATCCGGTGGCTCGACATCATTAAGTGGATCGACCGTTTCTGCTGCTGCGACAACATTAGGTGGATCTACACTTTCAGGTGCCTCAACAACTCTCGGTGGATCAACAGTTTCAGGTGCCTCGACGATATTAGGGGGATCAACAGTTTCAGGTTCTTCAACTAGTCTCGGAGGATCAACAGTCTCTGGTGGCTTGACATCATTAGGTGCATCAACGATTTCGGGTGCCTCGACAACATTAGGGGGATCAACAGTTTCAGGGGCGTCTACAAGTCTTGGAGGATCAACAGTGTCCGGTGGTTCGACCTCATTAGGTGGACCAACAGTTTCCGGTGGCTCGACGTCATTAGGTGGATCGACCGGTTCTGTTGCTGCGACAACATTAGGTGGATCTACACTTTCAGGTGCCTCAACAGCTCTCGGTGGATCAACAGTTTCAGGTGCCGCGACGATATTAGGGGTATCAACAGTCTCCGGTGGTTCGACCTCATTAGGTGGACCAACAGTTTCCGGTGGCTCGACGTCATTAGGTGGATCGACCGGTTCTGTTGCTGCGACAACATTAGGTGGATCTACAATTTCAGGTGCCTCAACAACTCTCGGTGGATCAACAGTTTCAGGTGCCGTGACAACATCAGGGGGATCAACAGTTTCAGGGGCGTCTACAAGTCTCGGAGGATCAACAGTCTCGGGTGGTTCGACATCATTAGGTGGACCAACAGTTTCCGGTGGCTCGACGACATTAAGTGGATCGACAGTTTCTGCTGCTGCGACAACATTAGGTGGATCTACACTTTCAGGTGCCTCAACAGCTCTCGGTGGATCAACAGTTCCAGGTGCCGCGACAACATTAAGTGGATCAACACTGCCAGGTGCTTCAGCAAGTCCCGGAGGATCAACAATTTCAGGTGCTTCAGCTGGTCTTGGAGGATCAACAGTCTCTGGTGGCTCGACATCATTAGGTGCATCAACAGTTTCAGGTGCCTCGGCAACATTAAGTGGATCAACACTGTCTGGTGCTTCAACAAGTCCTGGAGGATCAACAGTTTCAGGTGGCTCAACAACAGCTAGCACTACGGGGTCAGGTGGTTCGCCAACAACGAGTGGGTCTGCTGCCGCGACAACTGAAAAGACTAGTGAGGTATGCATCTGGATTGTGGTATATACTTTGTTTTGAATGCTTCAGTCTATCATATTTTGAGGGCTCGTCAAGTGTGATTGGTGGAGCGATTGGTGGATCCGTGGCAGCTGTGGCTGTGTTGAGCACCGTTGGTGGCTTGGCTTATAAGTTTCTTAAAGGTGGGACGAGGTGAGTATCCGTCCCTGTTTGTGTCTGCCGTTTAAATTGCTCCTTTTTTTATCAGTAGTGCTAAATTGAAAAGTGTTAGTCACGTGACATCAGCTAAGCATACGAAGACGGTGACAATTCAGTCAGCTTCGGGAGAACGCTTGGTATTGATGGAGAGCGGTGTGAATAGTTGTTTGTCAAACGTACAGGGTACGTCGTCAACTGGAGCAACACTATCCCCTACTGGTCTTACGTCACAACCGGCACCCAGCGTCCCAATGCCGAAAGTCCCACCGCAGCAGATGCAGGTGGGTTTGCACAAGTATAATATAACCATCATAAAGTAACATAGTCTTTTGTTTACTTATTGCCCGAATTTCAATTTGCTTTTCTTTTTGATTGAATTACACTTTCGCTTTCTCTTTAGCCTGATGCCAGTTTGCTTTTCTCTTTGACAGAATTGTGCTACGCTTTGGGTGTGGGTGTGGATGTGGGGTATTGGTGCGAGGTGTGGGTATTCTCTCTTTTACAGCCACATCCGCAACCTATGGCAAGGGGGAAAAAGCGGATCCCGGGTTCCAATGGGAACCATTGGGATCTATCACAATCTATCAGGATGCACTGACATTCGTTAACATAAATTACGTTCTAAAAGATTCACAAGAACAAAAGATATTAAAAAGACTCGTATAATAGAAATTTATTATTCAAAGCATGCGGTAGAAGCACTTCAATGCTCATTATGTAATGCAATCATAACTCCAACTTATCTATGTAACACTTTTTAGTATTCTATTACCAAGAAATGATATTACCACCTTTCAGTAGACAGGAAAAGAACCGAAAAGAGATTAAGCTATAGATGGTGTTTTATTACTTTCCATGTACATTAATCCTTTTCAAAATATTTTGTGATTTCTCTCGATACACACGAAGATGATTGAAAAATGCTACCTTGTGCTATTTTGACAATGACTTTTGTTTGCATATTGACTAGTTCTCCGTTTTGAAGTGAAGATTTCAGATATTCTGATCAATGAACTGTGCGTTACAGTAATTCATTTAGAAATATAATTCTAATGTTATTTAATGCATTTTATTCAAATATTTTCGTAGTTAATTAAACAAAATGAAAATGAAATCTAATCGAATTAACTTTGCTTGCTTGTTTGTTGAACTCGTGTTTGTCTACTTGATGATAAACGGTTTTTCTCTATGATCAATAATCGTGCTGCTGCTTGTTTATGGATAAATTTCGGTTTATAATTAATGGTAGTTTGAAAATAATGAGACTTTTTCGATGAATCGATTTCATCGTAAACCCTCATTCCTTGGAAAGTCTCTTTCGAGCTCGTTATACAATAACTATTTTCTTCATCTTCATCTGAACAATGTTCATTCGCTTCGACATTTGTTTCGGTAAGTTCAACAGCAATTTCACCATTACTATTATTATCATTATCTAAACTATCTTGAAGATCTTCTTCATTAAAATACGAACAATCTACTCTTAATTTTCCAGTAAGCTGTTGAAAAACAAAATCATTAAGTTTTCTGAAGTCATTTAAATTGTTTCCCTTTAGTATTTTAGTTAATTGTAAACTATCCATAATAGATTCTGCTTGACCATAGGCTTTAATAATAATTTTTTCTATATCATCGGTTGTTATTGTTGATGTAATAGGAGTATTTGCAGACATAGTTGTTTCTCTATGTCGACTTTTGTGATGAACAGGAAATTTGAATGAATGTGCCGCACAATTTGCCTCTTCTGTAGATTTTATTTGATTTAGAATAGAAATTTTCCCAATTTTTTGTAAAAAAGTGAACGCAGAGAAGCTTGTTATGATTGAAAGAGTTCCAGTCTATGCCCGAGCGCTGCGGAATGCCGTCTCACAAGGTTGACTGGTAAAAAGATGTGTATTAATTGCATCAGATGGTAAACGTCCTTCAGATTCTAAAATGATTATTGCTGTTAAACAATGTACATTCAATTCCGATGATAACCAAGCAGCTCTTGTTATAAAACAATTATCCTTTTCCTTTTGAGAACAATTTTGTTTAACTTGAATACTACTCCTGGAAATTATAACTGAAATGAATAAAAAATAATAGACAGATTTTTAGATTTTTTTACCACCACATTCGATATGAGAAAGTTACTACTCAACCATAGTATAAGCGAGTAAGAATATCAGTCTCTGCTTTAACGTAAGTAAGAATTATTAATTTCAATAGATATAGATAAACATAAGTAGCTGACGCATTTATGTCCTTCAATACATTTAACACGTCATCAGATGTTATCTTCAAACAAGAAGAATAATTTTGACGATCATGAGGAAGAACGTCTGATTTCACTAAATTGTGATCGATTTTCGGATAATTCTGGATTATATAAAATAAATGGTTCACATCTATTTTTTGATCATTAATGAACATAGTTGCGGTTTCTGATAAGAGACAGTTTCTAACTTTTGTGACAAGATGTATACCATCTTGCATACAAAGATATGGTTGAGTGGATCTTATGAAAAAAAATTCCAATGTGACGCAATATTGATTTCAAGTAAATTATTATTTCCAGTTAATAAATCGATGTTTGGTGCTTTAGTGAAGAAACCTAAGGTCAACTGCATAGCTTTGAGGTGTGGGGTGTGAAGGTGGGGGTGTGGGTGGGTGTGGGGTGGAGGTGGCGGTGAGTGTAAGTGTATGTGGGCGCGGGTGTGGATGCTGTTTTGTCTCGCTCAACCACATCCCACACCCACCTACCCACACCCTCAAGAACGAAACGTGACACAAATTAATTGAAAAATTAATAAAATTATTGTTAGCCTAATTAGTTACTATACTCTTTACAAGAACAATATAATAGGCAAAAAAAAATGTATCAATCTAATGACTATCTATACAGTAAAACTACACCGAATGATATATAGCAAAATAATTTTGAAGAAAAAGTAAGGGCATGAGTTTTCCCTCAGATATTATCTCTGGAACAATTTATGTTCCCTAAAAATGTTTCTCTGTATTCCATCCAATAATTTATTAGCAAAGAAAAGTGTTTCTGAGCATGGAAGTTACATGTCGATCTACCATACAAAAAGTGCATATTCTGTTTGTGAGACGGCGAGGAATGACATTAATGAATATATTTTTTGTGATCATGCCATTAGATACAATCTTATTTATAAATACAAATGATTTGGCTCATTAAAATACACGAAACGTTTAATTTCATAAATAACAAAAACTATATTAATATGAAATCAACAAGTTATTATAATACAAAAACTCCATATGTTGTCATGTATAATTGTATAAGTGAAAAATTTTCAATAATAATTTATCATTTAACTAAAAATAACATCAACAAGTTTCAGATCATTAAATAAAATGCATCATCTGCTGGTTTAAAAATTCATTCAAACAAATATAAATTGTTTTTTTCTCTGAATATTTTCATTACAAGATGGATTGTTGTTATTATACTATCAGTTTTCTGATATATATGTTTTGTTCGCCAATAAATGCTTCAAATGACTGGTCGACATTTGAAGCACGTGATATTTATCCAATTGCTGAAAAATGTAATTGTGTATTTCCGTTTATATACCAGAATAACGTTTATAATGATTGTACAACTGATGGATATAATGGAAATATACCATGGTGCTCATTAACAACAGAGTATCAGGGATTATTTACTTATTGTTATGACTTTTGGAATTCGACACTAAAATGTCTTCCTTCATTTAAAGTTTATGGAAGAACTTTTACTAAATGTGATTATTTAACAAGCAATACCAAGTACAAACAATGTAAAACAAATAATAGTGATGTACCATATCGTTATTGTATAGAAGATCATATTGTAAAAACTCTAAAACCTTTATATCATCTGAATGCATGTCATCCAGCTTATAAAAAATTATATTCGTTCCATTCAATGTGGTAAGTTGTCGTCAAAAAGAAAAAAAGATATAGATTTGTCAATGATTTATTTTCATCTTTCCTCCTTATCAGTGATTGGATACTCAGTAAAATACTTGGTACTTTCGATACTTTTAATGAGTATTCTCGATTACTTAAGTACAGTCTAATAGTATCAGTAAATTTACTTGTATTGAAAGATTGTACTGAAGTACCAATATTTGTACTAATTTACTGGAGTACCAGTATTTTAAGTACAAAATGTACTTTAATCAGATATCAATATCCTTATATATTACTACTTTGTATTCTCAGAAATATCTACAAAGTATTCGTGATATTTTAACCTACACACTATAAATTCATGTCTTTTGAATTTTCCTTGGTCATCAGTGTTGATTAGTTATATCAATGCTGTTTTATGGTATCTATTTGTGAGACTTGTTTTCTGAATAAAGATGGACCCCAATTTGTGAAATTTCTTTGTGAATGGACATCTAAAAGTAATTTTAAATATAATTATATTGGAATATGAAATGAAAAGATAATGGAATTAATTCTAATCCATAATTAAAAAACTTTATTTCATAAGAAAAAGTCAAGAATTGACTGATAAATAACTTCTTACAAAAAAAAAATAAAACAAGTTAATAGTAAAAAATAATCGTCATTAATAATATCTAATATAAGAAGCAGTTTATGCAAACAAAAAGCTAATGGGTCAATTCATAATAAAGCTTGATTAGCTTTCAAAAGTACTAAATCTTTAAATAATGGTTCACTTAATCTGATGCGTCGTGAAGACAAAGTAAGACCAGCACATGAGAAAACACGTTCCACAGGGGCAGATGAAGCTATCTTGAGGCCCAATATCGATATCAATATGTTAAATGTACAGCTCCGCTTCATTATATCTATAAGTACTCTAATGTACTTAAATTTACTGTACTTGAGTACAATCCTACATGGTACAGCTACTGAGTAAAATTTACTTAAGTAAAAAGTATCTAAGTAAAGTACAAAGTACATTTTTTAATTATCTAGTATTTTACTTATACTTGCTGTACTTGTACTCGTCCAATGACTGATCCAAAGGTTGATGTGCTGATGTACATTTTTGTGGAATCTGTAATTTTATAGAGTCTTTTTGAAAGCATTGATTAAACTTATCTTTTTGGAATTTTACGGCAAAGGTGTCATGAATAAATGCAATTTCTGATAATTTTTTTTTTGAATATTTCATTGTAGTATACATTCAAAATAGAGGTATTTACTTTACCAGAATTGGAGCACTGTACTAATAAATTTTCTGATTGAAATAAAAATTTTTTAACATTGATACCGAAACTGCCGTCAGGCTCCTGTAATAACAATTAACATTCGCCGATGAAATAGCTGTTTTAGTTTAAGGGTGGTTGCATAGTATAACTATGAGAAATTGCGTTTAAAGAATTAACACTACATATGACGTCTTTTTCTCCCATAAGGTTCAATTTTCTATTAGAGTACAACTCGTAATTAAATCCACTTTGGGCACTGTTTACAATTATACTTCGATCAAAATTCACTAATTTTTTAGATGCATGTTTTACAAAATCACGATTTTCTTCCATTATTTTCTCATTATCTATTTCAGATTTTGATGAAATAACTTCTGTGATTTTACGTGAAGAAATATTTTTACCAATTTTGAACTGTCTTATCCACTTGTGGCTATCAGCAAAATTTCGTAATTTAATTTCTTTTGATTTTTGTAAACTTCATCTTTTAAGACCTTCATCTTTAACTGACAAATATTTGCTTCTTGCTAATTGAAACTTTTTCCAAACAAAATCTTTAATCAATTCATATTTCTGAAAATCAGTACCGCCATTTGCAATATATTTTCTTATACGTGATACTTCTACTGGGTTTTTCAATTTTTTATAATGATACTTTAATGAATTGAAACTCAATTTTTCACTTTTATCGGCGATTTTTTGCATTTGCTCATAACTATATTTACATTTGTCTGAATGTTTGCAATATTCAAAATCATCTTCACTTACCGATGTATCATCATCTTCACCTTCAGATGTATTTTCATTTTCACCTTCTGATATACTTTCATCTTCACGTAAATCGAGTGTGTGTTTGGTTTCAATTATTAAATTATAACTTGAAATGATTTCTTGAAAAAAGATAATTAGTTGATTGACTTTTTCATTTTCAGCAATCCGGTAATAAATTTTCTTCTTTTAAATTGTATTTTTGTTGGACTTTAAAAATAAAAATGATATGCTATAGTTACAGGATTCATTTTGTTGATAAATATTATTTTACTATTTTTAAGAAACAGTATACATATATAGAGAAAGAGAGAGAGAAATGCACCTGAACGTACTTATATGCACTAACGTATGACAACAGAACGAAAGAGGATTTACATGAAATATATATACATGGCGTCATGACAACACAAAAAGGAAGATGATGCATAAATGATGACGCCACCTGACATTATTAAGTGCTAGCGATAGATCCGTGCAGAGTAATATTGTAAGGTGAGTGTCTGTGTGTCTATGCTAAAGTAAAAAGTCATAGATCAACTCACACTCTCATTGATCTTTGACCTTTGATCCCAGCACAGACACTGAACATTATATATATAGAGATTTACTCTTAAACGCGCTGTTAGCCCAAATGATTATTATATCAGTTAATAACTCAACAAGCTCTACAAATTGGCAGCACTAAATTTTAAATACTGATTTATCAGTTCGTTACCTTCCATCGTAAGTTATATCTTACAATTATCATCGTCAATGTTCAAATTAATATCGATTCACTCCTCAAACTTTAATTAAACTAGTTTTATTAACCAACGATTGACTATTTTTTGATTTTCTCCTGACTCACATCCGCACACTGATGAATAATAGACGAAAGAAATTATTGTTTTCTGCGAAAGTTTTTATTTGTTAACAACAAATTACAAAACAAGCAGCAATTCATGTGCATAATGCAGAATACCATAACATTAATTGCTCAAATTAGGCTTGTTAACGAATATCAAAAATTGTAGCTATTTTCAGATATATTCTTGTCTTCCAGCGTAGTAGTATGATAGTTTTCTTTGACATTTGCTTGACATAATATGATAATCAAAATTTCATAATAATCTCTTATATTTACACTAAAGAATTTGTGTACGATATTTTGAAATAACAATATTAACATTTGTTCCGCGGAAATCTTTTTAATACAAGTTAGAATCGTTTTGTATTGGACTCATTTTATTTGAATAAGTTAAAAAATATGTAAGAAGTGTTAGTAAGAGTAGCTAAATAAGAAGAAGGAAGAAATGTTCGTAGTAATGGCAGATCAATAATATGTATAGCATCTGCCAAATTCTTGAACCCAGTAGCTATTGTACCCATCCTTTTTAGCATATCCAATGCCAATTGCCTTAGAATCTGGGTTCATAATATTGAAACAGTGTCCAGAGCTTTTGAGCCAACTAGCGACTGTTGTCTCAGGAGTTTCATGGAGAGCAAGATTTTCGGCATTGACACAATTTTTCGAATACACTGCATCTTCTATGCGATCCACAAAACTACTTCCATCTATACCTGTATGAGAAAAGTAGTCATTATCATGCATGCTGTCGGCATGTCCCTGTGCGGTGTCGGCTAATTCATCATTCCACGTAAGTTCGGTTGTAGCAGGATACCAAGTGCTACCACAAAAATGACCTTGTGTACGTGCTTTATTTGTTCGCTTCAATACTTGTTGTTCATACTCGTTGCTGGGACCTCGACGTTTGAAATCATGAAGAAAGTTACTGTCATCATTATTGTTGTCGTTGTTGTTCATTGATCTAAGTTGTTGACGTCAGCTGGGTCGTGACTCACCTATCCCTTCAGCTGTGCCTAATACTGGTCGGAGTCGACAGCGTTGATCGTTTGCTGGCCATGAATGAGTCAATTGTCCGAGAGCCAAACAAATAAAAGCCCAACATATCCACATAGTCATTGTCTAAACTTGACAAAATTTGACTAAATAAAATAGAATATACTATCGTGTTATTCGATCAATTTCACAAGTCAGTAAGTAACAAATAAAAAAATCCAGATGGATTATTTATAGAATGTTTGATTTCTGAAACTTTGATATTTTTAAGTTTTCATTCATCTATGAAGTATCTCTAGAAAAACGTATGCACCCAGAACTATGTCTAGTATCTTTAATAAAAGTGTCAACTTCATCTTACATATTGTACTAGAGAAGCAGACCACGGGTCTGCACGATTTCTGTGTAAAAACCTTTTTTGCCAAGTAAATTGATTGAATACTGACTACGTTCAACGGTGTTAGAGAATCCATGACAGATGCTCTAAGCATCTTTGGAATGAGAAATAATCATAATCATCATCATCATCAGGAAAAGTTTGTATAAAATAGAATAATCGTAGCGCGAATATTCTGCTCGGACACTTCAGGACTATATTAGTGATGGAAAATTAAAAACCAAAACAATTTCGATTCTTTTTTCTTTGAAAGGCGAAACGGTTGGTTCTCTTCAGTTCGTATCTGTGTTAACAAAAAGAAACTGCTGCGATTGTATATCAAATGTACAGCGCCTAGATGGATTTTCTGGAGGTGCAAATATGCTTTGAATCTCCAACAGAAATACCACTTACTCGCGATTCAGTTGTCTTGTGTGTCTGGTTTTTCGTATGGCAATGATAAAAATATTCGATGCTGTTTATATACATTTTGCTCTTCATAATTTTTTTCTCTCTTTTCGCTTCGATAGTTTTATTCGTTCTTTACAGTTATCAATTCTGTTTATTATCAGGAGTGCAAATGTGTGGGACGAGCTGTAATGATGCATAACATTCATACAAATCACTTGTAGAACTTTTTTTTGCACATTTGCATGAAAGCAAACGTGAAACAATAGGACAATATTAAATCGTCATTTTGCTGTAGTACCTACTAGACACATGTCATAAGAAAGTAAAATATAGGTGGTATTGAATCACATTATCTTTTATGTCGGTAATGAAAAAATTAATTATAATTAGGTTAAAGGGAATACTATACCAAACAAAATTTCACATTTCTAGTATTTAATATTTTCTTCTTGTTCTTTCAGATGACTCTTAATCAAAATGTCTATTCAGATAAAATTTCAATGAAACTTTGCACATTAATATATTTGAAAATACAGATATCCGATTATTGTAATATATTTGCCATTTTATTGTAATGATACTGTCCATAGCTGATTTTTAACATATATTATATCAAGTTTTCTTATCTAAACGCATCAAGAGCAGGTGCAAGTAGTTTTTTGGATAATTTACGACAATAAAAACTGTCTCTCCATCTAGAATCATCAATATAATTATTATTTTGTTAAATCAAACAAAAAAACAATTCCCATGCTGTTTTCTTCTCTTTTGATACTCCAAGAATATGTCATTCGAATCTATCTGATACGGATACATAAATTAATCATCTTTACGACGAATGTCCTTGAGATACAATCATCAATTTAAAAACAATTATACATAAATATTGACAGCTGATAATGAGAGAAAACGAATGTGTTACTAATTATATTATCAACAAAGCGTTTAACTTGTGTCGGCTTCCTCCCACAAAGAGGTGTAATGAAAGTTATGCGTTTACATAGAGTATTGCAGGATAATTTCCTTCATCAACTTTATGAAAAGGTTAAGTCAATAAACAGCACTTAGAATCAATTAGTTAATACAGATGGTGTCGATGTTATGTTGATGTACTTCGAATTACTTCTTGGGCATACTCGTGTATCAACAATTGTCACTGTTCGCTAACAGAAAAGTGGCAGAAATGAAATAAGAAGGTGTCTTCAGTATTTAAAAACAATCAAAAGAACTGTAAGAAATTTATTCACTCTTACCACAGATTTTGCGAAATACTTTGTGTGTGTTTAGTATTTAATAATTGTTTCCGTGATTTTCGAGGTTGTCTTGCACATTCGTCATATACAGCTTTGTTTAAACTAAGAAAGTCGTCAAAGAATTCGTGTTCATGATCTAATGGTTAGGAGTGATGGCTTTTCTACTGATTGTTTACCCTTTTCCAAGGTTTTTATTTCGAAAAATTCGAAATGAACAATTTCAACATGACATTTTTTAACAACTAGGCTAAATAATTATTTAGAACACTCTTAAGTTGTTCGATTCTCAAATCAATTTGATTTTTGTAGCCTGTTTGTGAAAAATAGCCATTTTTGAAAATACAATAGTTCGAAAGAGAATATTTCATTGTATATGATATTGTCAAGAAACTCTACTATTCATTTGACTTGGCCGTTTTGAAAATGTCAGGTCAAAATTGTTTAATTGGATTTTTTTAAAAAGGCAACCTTACAATAGATCAAAAATTAAGTGAACAAGATTATAGGTGCCAGCTCGTTTGAAATTTCCTTAGCCTCATCGAAATCTATTCATAGACAAAATATAGAGTCGAATAGTTCTAGTTATGATAATAATAGATATCATTATGATCAAAAAGAAATCATTCATATTAAAAATTAATTTTAGTAATTATTTAAGTTGACGAAGGTTAGTACTGAAAAGAGCAACGTTGAAAATGAGTAAAACAACTATTTTGAAATTTGAAATATAAAATCAAGTTAATCCCACAGTCAATATACTATACTTCATTATGAAGATTTTTCAAAACTTCAACCAGCAAAACTACGCATGTAAAAAAAGCGCACGAATAATCAGATGAAAATTTGATTAATCCGAGAAAAATCATAAAAATCGATTAAATATGCCAGTCTCGGATTAAACTAACCAACTTAATCGATTATAATTGATTCCCACACTCGACAACCAATTATAACTGATCTTTTCTCCGATAATCCACAGAATATATGACAAACCCAATCGATTATAACAGATAATAAGAATAATCTATTATAATCTGTTATCTACTAAATAATCCAAATGATATATGAAAAATGTAATCGATTATGATAAGATTGTAAGAATAATCTACTATAATCTGCTAGCTACTAAATAATCCAAATACGGTGTGGGTGTGGGCTTGAAGTCTTAGTCTTCTCATCACCCACACCCTAATTCATAAAACTACAACCAGTACATTGTTTTTGAAATTCATATACGAATCAGTTTTCTTTGTGACAATAAAAAGTGTTAATCTACACTACAAAGCTGAACAATTAATTAGATGAAATCTCTAATCTACAGACAAATCCAATGTCAATTTCAAGAAGTTGCATTTTGAATATGTTGAAGAACACTTTCGGAAAATTTTAATCGACTTTGTCTATTGAACATATGACCAGAATGATCCATGACCACTGTTTTTGCATTGAGTAAATCAGCTAATTCTTGTTGTTTTTTAGGTGGTATAAGTTTATCTTGCATGGCTATTTGTACTGTCACCGATACTCGTGCATCTTTGATCTGTTGTGCATGTTCATCCGTTAAATAATGCGAGTGAAAAATAACATTCTGATGTGAACATCCATCAATATCCTGAAATATGAACCATTTGTCATAATCGTTTGACCATTTTTTAATAAGTTCCTCCATTTCTTCTTCCTCTATTCCATTAAATATTAGTGGTATCAATGAACGAAGCATTTGTTCGTTATCCAGTTTCATCCCAAAATAAGGCAGTATTATTCGAGAAAAAACCCATTTGGGTAATAATGCTAACGGTCGAATATAAGAACCTAAGTAGAGAGACATAAGATCGTTATTTTCATATACCAATTCGATATTTCGAAAAAGAGTATGAAATACACCTGATGTATGCATTGTATGAAATAGTGAAGAGAATAACCATTCTCTTGCAGAGCTGAAGGCATCTAAAAAACTCAACCAGATCAGAAGAGCCGTTTACTCGCGAGTTGAAAAACAGTTTAAACTGGTATAAAAAAGTGATTGAAAAAGTTTAATATAATCACCAAAAAGTTCTTGATGATCATATGTTGGAAGATTTTGATGAAATGATACGAGACTGACTTTTTTCATGTTGTTGTCATGTTTTGCGATAATCAATAATGCTCTTATTAGCTTTGTAGTTTATGAAAAAGGTGAAGTCCATTGATATTTTTAAAATTTGATCGGGTTAGATTGATCAGTTTAGATTTTCGCTCAGACCTCATCAATTGGTTATTATAAATTACTACGACCGGTATATCTACCCAGAAAATAGATATTTTTCCTTCACTGTTATGTCTTTTAGAAACTAAACTTCAAATTTATGATCAGAGTTTTTCATATACTGATGAATCAGTTTCTTATCACTTCTGTAGCTATTGGAACTGAATAAAAAAATTATCAAGCATCTACTTACCACGAGTTGTAATTCCCAGATAAAGCGATAAAAGACGTTGTTCGGGTATTAATAACAAAGCTAATTCTTGCGCTATCATTCCACCTAAACTCATACCTAACACATGAACTGGAGCTTGATCACCCCATACGTGGTTAATTAATTGATAAGCATCGTGGGCTAATAGATTTGATGTTTCCCGTATTGTTGTGGCGGCTGTTGTTGCTTTTGAGTGACCGATTCCACGATGATCGTAAGTCAATATTTCTATTGATGATGGATAATGTTCAACAAGATATTGGACAAGCTCATCGAAATGTCTTAATGTTGCATATGCCCCCATAATCATTACTATTTTTGTCGATAAATTTGATGATGATGGTGATGATGAACAACAGAGTTCATAATATATCTTAATGCCGGATGTTAATGAAAAATAATCCTTCTTTATTGACATATTGCTTATACTTTGCGTTTGAGAAAAGAAATAGTATTGCTACAACAACAATATAAATATGTTTTCTACTTTTTCTCTATTCAATCGACTACTCATATATGTATGGGAAAAGAACAAAAAACTTGTCAGTGCGACCCCTTCTAGAGGCAAAGTTTAGAACTCACGAACTCTGACTGCTATAAATTTTTGATATGTGATCAGAGCTCTTAAAATAATTCATTGTAAAAAAGTGTCAATTAAATGATTATTTCAAAATTATAACAGTTTTCTTGTTGATATAGGCGTACTCTCAAATTTTAACATTTTGAAAATGCTCAAATTTATAATTTTTTTCTAGCAATATATTTGATTCATTTAATATCATTATAGTGTAACAACTTATTTGTATTATCTGTACAGGACTCCGTATAACACACAAATTAAAGCGTTGGGAGGACCTAACTGTCTACACTTTAACTAAGGAATACACAATAAATGACTATCTATATAGATATTGGTTAAAATTTAACAAACACCTTGAGACATCAGCTGAAGCTCACCAATATCAACTCACTTTTACTGCATATCTAGCATCAAAAACCCCACAAAAATGCTGGTATCTGTCCATGGGAATACGAAAAAATAGCAAATTTCTGAATAGATTATCTGAAAGGGCTCAACATTCGAAAATAGATATGATAAACTTTTTAACGATTCACGCTCAACAATATAGGTACTTCAAACATTCATCTTTCCCTATACATACATTCAACTATAAATATCTGATGCAGGAAACAACAGTTGTTACATTGTAAATCGAAACTTATATATACAAATATAAACTGTAATAATACATGTGTCTTTTTTTTTCCCCAACGGAACACGCACACATATATATATATATATGATATCATATAGAGGGTTACCATTGTATTGTTACTTCGAACCTCACTGCTGTTTACTATATGTATAACGTATAAAAGATGTAGCCATAGTTTATTGTTACAATGTTTATAAGTGTTTCACATTTACTTCGCTCTTATTCTTCTGTTAATGTTATTACTTTTAGCTTCATATTCTTATTCTTTTTTTTTCTTATCTCTGTTCGTGTTATTGTTATTGTTGCTATGATTCTCTTAAAGTCTTTTTTTTTAAACATCACATTGTCAACCTTATATTATAGGGACAATAAATCTACATGTCAAAAAAAAAAAATAATCAGGCAAAGAAAAATTCGTAAAAAAAGTAGAATCATAACGTCCTGTCTCGCATTCTCATTTTGGTTGTTATTCATCACACGATATGAAAAGACAATAATCAGTGAGATGATTGACATGTGGAAATACTTGTCGCCTTTGCAAGATGTTTAGATAGATCAAAATCCTTTTGAGACAGAAACTCATTAAAGAACGGATATACCACAAAATAGTTTGCAACTTGAACAACTTGTCAAAGAGGAGACAAAGAAAAGTTGGTCATACAAAAAGCCGTGTATTTGATGCAGAGTGTCCTGAGTTTTGCAACGCATTGTTCTCGCTTTTTCCAATTGATTCATCAAGTATGACAATTGATCTGCACCTGTTTGTGGAAAAGAAAGTATCTCATGCTAACCCCGAACCACTAACGGTTGATCAAACTCAATACAAGTCTACGAAAGTCAAGAACTTGATTCAATGTGCACAAAGATGAATATATTTCCACTTTATGCATCTAACTGGATGTTTGACAAGCAGCTTATGATTTACTACAATTTCACAGCGAAATTCATCTGTGAAGACTATCCGCAACCATCACTTGATGAACAACTTTTCACTATCCATCTACTCCTTTGTCATGAAACACGACGATTTCTAAAACAAGCACATCAAGTGACTTTTTCGATAACTATGCTTCCTATACTCCACCAAGTATCGACTGCGCATCCTATCACGAACAAACATCAGTCTTCGTCAATAACATTTTCTTCCAATTGGTAGTATTCCTTCAGGAAGGTCTACTTCGGCGAAATGAGGACATCTAGGTGTCAGCAGCAATTCAGAAGCGCATTCACAGTCCCATAATCAGTATTAATATTAGAGAACAACTATTGTTGACTTTAGTAATACACCAATCAAGTGCTTTTGAAGGTATTTCTAACAACAAAACGCTATGCTCATTCAATCTCTTCAGGATCAGCATGATCTGCGGAAGCAAACTGAGACCATCGTTGTTGTTAATGTGAATAGTGATAATCAGCAATGGGTTTCACCAGTTTCGCATCATTTCGCTGCTGCTCGGTATCCTTTCACGCCCTTTTCAATTATTTTTCGCACAGTATATACATGATAAACCAGTGATGACAAGGTTGTAGGCAGAAGGTAACTAAGTGGACTTCAGTATCGTCTTGGAAGAAAATTTCTCTAAAGATGGTATGAGCACGTGAATCTCGCCCAGCGGAAAATTTATTCTGGTCATGCAAACCTCTTTAAAAAATTATCTTCCCATTATAAAATTTCTGAGTAAGAGCCTGAGCAATAGAAGACGTCGTTACACATTCATCGCAAATTTTTATTTCTATTTAAAAACTAATGTATACCGCTCAGTTCGTGCCAAAAGTAATGAAACTTGTGTTTTCGTGGTTGTTGAAAACAGCAACTTGTTTGCCTTTCTACAAGAGAGTAACTATTAGTTCCAATCTCTCATAGGCTTTACGTACTCGATGAAAACGTCCTCAATTTTTCCTCAACTTTCTCGTGTTCTATTGGCGATTCCTCTTCACATCAATAAAGATAATTTTGTGAAAGAAGTCAAAGATAAATATGCAGATATTTTCGATGTAATGCGCCTTAGAAATAAAGTACAGCAATCATTGCGTGTCTTGAAACTTGATTTCCGTGCTGTCAAATCTCGAAATATGGCTCTTGGAAAAGGTAAAATATTGTTGATGAACATACAGCATCAAGTAATCGCATATTATGCCCAAGCAAATGTATTTATCTGTTCAAACTGTTGTCGAATGGAACACTTTGGAAAAATTGCCCGCAAATAGGCGAAGCCAAATGTTAAGTGTACGAAGAAAGATGTGTGAACTTGAAGAATTATCAATGCTCAGAATATCAAAATGTATCCAATGTGGAGGGAAGCATAATTCAAAGGAACTAATGTCTTAGTTGCTCGAGGATCATCTTGCTGCTTTCAGTTGGAACCTATTCTCAAACGTCGTATCAATCAATGGAGCTTACACGAATGTTTGTCAATCAGTTTCGGATCCAGCATGGAATCGTCAAAGACCACCACCATATATTCTTTTAAAAAAATCGATTGATAGCAGTCGTGAGACGTCCGAAGAACGTTTCGCATGATATTTGAGAGAGAGAGAGAGAGAGAGAGAGGAACAAATCTCAGTCTTTTTGAACTGAAAAAGCTGATCTATGTTTAGATCTCAATGAATTAAAACAGAAAACTCCAAAAAGAAGGTGTAAAGCACTTGAGAAATATGACATGGAAAAAATTGATCAATACTAAAATGATCGACAATTTCAACGTGTTATCAATCAAATGTCATTATCGAACGCAGGTTAGACATATTCAGACGTAGGTAAAATGAAACAGTTATGTATTTTTACACGGTTCGAATTCGAACGCAGTCAGCAGCACTTATTTCGAAAGAATGTGCCCAAGGGGCAAACTTCTGTTACAGTCTTACCTTATCAGCAATGCACAGTTTCTTCAAGAGCGTTCACAGTAGTTCTTGATTTCGAGAACATAGAGTGTGTAGAAAACAGAGAGAAAAAGAAGAAGTGAAACAGCTTCGTCTTCAATTTCCAACTGCGCTAATGCAGTGTAAGCTAAATTGAGCAATAGGTCAAAAAATGGAGAAAAGAAAAGAAAAAAAGAAGAAAGACATCGGCAGAGGAACCAAAAAAGAAAAAGAAAATACCTTATACCACAGGTGTGATATAACGAACGAATGTCGTACTTGTTCGCTCGAAATGTCTTCCTCGAAAGCATTTTTAGACCACAAAAATGGCTATGAACTTTCAAAAAAAGTCGAGAGGTTTCAGACTCTTTTATGTTATTCTAAAGACCATGTTCACAATGATTCGTTCCGTTTGTTGAATGGATCGTCAGGTGCGAACCTTTTCTCGAGCTGTTTCTGTGTAAATTGTCAAAAAAAACTTCTTGGAAGCTTTTGATCTCTTTAAGCTCATGGGATCTCTGAGAAATATCGATCATAGAATCTGCTTCTTTTTCGATTTTGATGACAGTTTTACCCATCTAGCAGTTCAATATTGTTCAGCGACGAGGCAATGCATTAGTTGTGGATAAGCTTTACATGTTTACACTAGAGAAAAATCTCGAATAAATTACTTTTCGGTAGGAAGTTATGCAGTAAACTACATGAATGCAAATAATGTTTTTCAAGCACTCATTCAATGTCTACTAGAAGTTCGTTTAATATGACGCGTTGTGATATGTAATGCGTCGCATACATTGAAAAGTCATGCACAACGCGGTAGGATTCAGATTTGCCATTCATGGAAGGAAACGGAAAACGCATGTAAAACATTAGAAAGATCATTCGAACAAACAAATTAGTGTATTCAGCGTTTTGTGAAACTTGGCATGGCTTTTTGACTCTTCGTTTTCCATTTCTTCTCTGTGAACTATGTTCTTTCATGTGACTTATTTCTGTTACATTATGGTAGCATATGTTGCACAATTAGTTGAGACTCTTGCTATGGACCTAGGTTAAAGCGGCAATCAAAAGAGAAATACGGAAACAACACCATATTGATAAATGACAAGAAATCTCGTATAAGCTCGAATAAATAATAACGCGTTGATCCTATGAATGAACATCCATCTTCTCAGCATTCCTTTCTTCTGTGCTTTGGCTGGTTGCAGCCATGTATACTTCTCTTATTTTCTGATAGAGATATAATCAACATCGAGCACAACTATTGACCTCTGCGTTGGTTCCATATCATCGTCTATGTCAACTATAATTTCTTCCCAATCGATAACACTTACGCATAATCATACATCCTCCTCACTATCAGCTACTTACTCTAGTAGTCAAGCAATATAAACACCATTGTAATCGCCAGTAAAATCAATTTAATCCAATGAAGTGAACTACCAGATCTACCTCCAAAAGCGAATAACCCAATAGCGGAGTACAGTGAATAGTCATGCAAATCTATCACTAACTGGAGAGTAATACTGATTATTTTGTTAAATGAACCCCAAACCGTCCGATAAAAGATATATGAATGTTTTGTCTGGCAAAGACAGCACGATTATCGTCAAGTAGCTTTGTGATTGTCCTCATGTAAATATATTTTTACTCAAAACGTGTCTGAATCGCGCCTTAACGCAATAAATGTTTTTACTAAAGATGCGCTCCGTAACTAAATCGTGTCTAGACGCGTCTAACTCTATATTTTTAATTTGAAAAAAGATATTTCACTTTGTCCCAGGTTTGATCTGAGTCACCATCATTATTCTTCAACGATAGTCTTTACCCAAATTCAGGCGAACGAAATCTTGGACCGTTGTTGAATATGAAATGACAGAAATGGGATTAGAACAAGTGAATAAATGATTAAGAGGCAAGTGTATATACCACGAAGTCATACGTAACGATAATCGTTGCCGAATAAAATAGAAAATGTATATGAATCGTGAATGAACTTTCGTTTACAAATGGATATGTTCACTAAACTGATTATATCATTCTCAATGTTATATTGCCGATGTTTCAGAATACCTCATTAATCTACTTTATTTTATTCGGTAACGTCTTTACTTTATATTTGTCTTTCTTCGTGTAATAATCAAGATATTAGGAGGAACCTTCAATCATCATTGTTACATACCGAAATAAGCAAAATCATTAAGGCATAAAATATCTATAAACCCCAAGGTCAAACAAACTGGGTCATAAACGATCGTATAGGGAGAAAACGGTCGTTCACAATTCCTGTATATGGAGTCCGTATATGAACTCCGTTTTTCTTCGTATAGAATCGTATTTTTCCGTATACAATCTTGGGGATATACGATTATAATACTGCACCACGTAAATTATAATAAAATCACACTCGAGTTGAATAAAAAATGCTCAGAAATTAATCATTTTTATCAACACGATAGTATTTGAACGGACATATTTATTTTTCTATTTCATACAGTGTTGAAGTATCGCCATGAAAAAGGCACAATAATTTATGCAAAGCATTGATTCATACATATGAATATATTTTTATTCGAACTGTTTTCCAATCCCGACTAATATGCGTGTGAAACAAATTAGAATGAATGACTCTGTGGTAGAACATGTCTTGCGTCGAGACGCGATCCACTTCAAAATGGCGTCTGAACACGTTTCAATAGTTTTTATGAACCGCACATAGACGTAAATCTTGACAAACCTTTTTCCGATCGCAACTAGATGTGCTTCGCCAAAGAAACTGCGTTTAGATAAACTTTAAGATATTTTATCGCCGGTTTAGAGTTNNNATTTCATCTAGCTGACAGGTCATTTTCATGAGTTGTTTTGCATGTTTTTCAAATATCATTAGTTTTAAAAGAATTTCGTCTTATACATTATCGAAGAAAAAGACGTGCCCGCTCCTCCTCTTTCGATTGGTGAAAACCGCAGGTAGCTAGGTATTGCGGTTGTCGAGTTATTGAGCTTACACTCACCCCTCTTTTATTCTGGCGCGGACATTAGTTCTTCGTGTTGAAGTGAAGGTTTCTGATAGTCCGATCGATGAACTATGCCTTAAAGCAATGCGTTTAGAAATATAATTCGACTATTATTTTAATACATTTCATTCAAATATACTTTTAGTTAATTAAACAAAAAAGAAAATGAAATCTAAACTAATTAACCTTGTTTACTTGTCTGCTGATCTCGTTTTCGTCTATCTAATGATAAACAGTTTTTATTTATAGACAATAATCGTGCTGCTGTTTGTTTATGAATAAATTTTTGTTTATTATTAATGGTAATTTGAAAATAATGAGATTTTTTTGATGGATCAATTTGATCATAAACTCTCATTCCCTCGAATGTCTCTTTCGAACTTGTCATATGATAATCATTTGCTTCGTCTTCATCGGAACAACATTCATTCATTTCCAAATTTGTTTCGGAAAGATCAGCAGCAATTTCACTATTACTATTAATATCATTATCTGCACTATCATGAAGATCTTCTTCATTGAAATACGAATAATCTACTGTCGATTTTCCATCAAGTTGTTGAAAAACAAATTCATTGAGTTTTTTAAAATCATTTAAATTGTTTTCCCTAAGTGTTTTTGTTAATTGTAAACTATCCATAACAGATTGTGCTTCAGCATAAGCTTTAACAATTATCTTTTCTATATCATAAGTTGTTATTGTTGATGTAATTGGAGTATTTAAAAACATTGTTGTTTCTCTATGTCGATTTTTGTGATGAATAGGAAACTTTAATGAATGTGCAGCACCATTAGTCTCTTCTGTAGATTTTATTTGATTTAAAATTGAAATTTTTCCAATTTTTTGTAAAAATTCGAATACGGAGAAATTTGTTATGGATGAAAGAGTGCCAGTCAAAGACCGAGCACTGCGGAATGTCGCTTCACAAGGTTGACTACTTAAAAGATGTGTATTAATTGCATAAGATGGTAAACGTCCTTCAGATACTAAAATTATTATGGCTGTTAAAAAATGTACGTTTAATTCCGACGATAACCAAGCAGCTCTTGTTATAAAACAATTGTCTTTTTCCTTTTGAGAAAAATTTCGTTTAATCTGAAGACTACTTCTAGAATTCATAAGAGAAATGAACAAAAACCAATATATAATTCTTTTACCACCACATTCGATATGAGAAAGTGACTATCCAACCATAGTATAAACGTGCAAGGATATCAGTATCAGCTTTTACATAAGTAAGAATTATTAATTTTAATAAATATAAATATACATAAGTAGCTGAAGCATTTATATCTTTTAATAGATTTAAAACGTCATCAGATGTTATTTTCAAACAAGAAGAATAATTTTGTCTATCATGAGGAAAAACATCTGAGTGCACGAGATTATGATCAATTTTCGGACAATTCTGAATTAGATAAAATAAAGGGTTAACATCAATTTCTTGATTATTAATGGACATAGATGCTGTTTCAGATAATAAACGATTTCGAATTTTTGTTACAAGATGTATGCCATCTTGCATACAAAGATATGGTTGAACTGGTCTTATAAAAAAGAAATTCCAATATGATTCAATATTAATTTTAAGTAAAGTATTATTTCCACTTATTAAATCGATATTTGGTGTTTTAGTGAAAAATCCTAACGATAACTGCATGGCTTTTAAGTTGCGCGGTTCAGCATCAGCTGAAAAACCAACAATATTGATATTCTTTGTTTTACATCCATTTCCTAAGAACATCTATAGCAGTATATTTGTTATTTGTTCCATAAGAAGAAATAATAAACGGTCATGAATGAACTAGTGATGAAAGATTTTTTAATATAGGTTCGATTAAATTCACAGCGATTAACGAAGATTTATCAAATTCTTCAAACCATTTTTGTAATTCGGTGTAACTATTGGTTTGAAATTGATCGACCAAAGGTACACCATTAACTAATCGAGGAGAAAATCCGATAAAACCATTGTTTTTACTATCGTATGATACGGAACTAACAACTCCAGTTGAGTCTTCGGACTATAAAAAGAAAATATGTAATTAAATCTTTTAATTACTATAAAACAGAAAGAATGAATTCTAATAAACTATAGGTGTATTCCGACTAACTTCTGTAGATATTAATAGGAGGAATCAAATTCTTTTTTTTCTATCATATATATTATATTATTCCGAAATGCATACTACAAATACATGATTTGAATCAATTAATTCTAAATAATCTTTGAGAGAATTAAATCGAAAGTCAGATTCTTTTAATTGCAAATTAATATCTTGATTATAAGCTTTTAATATTGTAGTGAAAGGTAGAGATCCTGGTAAATTAAGTCGAATGAATTCATAGGCATTATTTCCAGCTAATATGTTGAGAACTGATGCAAATTTATTAACAATAGGATCAAATTGGTAATTATTACTAGATCGTTTCATATTATTCAACAGATTATTACAGAAAAAATATTAATAAACGATTTCGATTGATTTTCTTTATAAATATCCATTAAATCACACATACAATGACTTGTTTCTTTAAATACATTGGATGTTGTTTGAGATGAAACGAAATTGACATTAGTTGATGTTGATTCATAATATTTTCTCAATGTTTTAATAAATTGCTCGATATTAGATTTAATTCCTGGCCGTACAATATACCGTAAATCATCCGTAACAAAAAAGCTCGTTCTTTTAATTTCAATATGTCTTTGGAATTTATTTGCAAAAATGAAAAGACATCAGTTACTTGTAATAAAATTCGAACATTTTTTATACGTTGTATTTCTAAAATTTCACCTTCTATAACACCAACAAATTCTTTGACAAATGTATAGAAAACATCATCAAAATAGGATGAGAGGTTTTCAAGAAATGGTAATAGTTCTTGTTCCATACTAGCCATAGCTATAAGATAATAAAAAAACTATCTATAAAAAGTATATAATACTTAGAGAATTGTCTTGATTCTAGTTAAATTGTTTGAAGTTAATAACTGTTTCAAAAAATGTAGTTCCAACTATATTTAACATAATTTAATTATACACAAAAGTAAGAAAAGAACAAAAAATATAAGCTAATGTAGATACAATACTCAAAAACAAAGTTTTCAAACATAAATAAATGCTGTATAATAAATAAATGGCAAGCATATAAAATCAATGATATTCAAATTCTCTATTTAGTTACACTCTATAACGCCTTTTTCTTTGTACTGTTCATTGATCATGATGGTGATGGTCGTTTTTTGATAAAAGAATTGTTATTGTTCAAGCTTTCTTCATCATAATAATTGTCCTCGTTTATCTCACAAAAATTGTTATTTTGCAAAAAATTATCTGATGAATTATTATTGTATTTTAAATTTTCAATTAATAGTCGTTTCTTTTTTTTAATCATAGAACAACGACTACCCTTCAAGTGTTTGAAATAAGAAGATAATTGAAATGAATTTCTATTTGGACGAAAACAAAGTTTAATTGTTGTTTTACAACCACATTTTATGTGTCCATTTATGTTCGTATGTAATAACGTTAAACATATAACATAATCATCGTTGTTGTTTAAAATAACATTTTAAAAAGTATTGATAGAAAATTTTTCGATGCTATTGGAAATCAAATCAACGTAATCATTAATTTGTATTAAATTAGGTGTTGCTGTTGGTGTTGATGTTAATGATGAATCGATGGAATCCGCAATAGATGTATTTAACAAAGGTGTATTTGAATTAGAACGATTTGTTGTAGAAAATAATAATGATGATGATGGTTTGGAGTTTTTTTTTTCGTTTAATGTACTTGTTGTTCTTCTCTTAAAGTATTGTTATTAAATAATCAACACCAGCTTTGATTCCTGATTTAACAATAACATTCTTATCATTATCATCATCGATGAAGCAAATATTATTTTTAAGATTAGCAAGTTCTTTACAATTAATACTAAATATAGCAAAAACATCTGGCACATTTAACAGGGTTCTAATGTTTTTAATTGATTGTAATTTCAATAACTTCATTTCATCAACACCTAAACAATCTTCAATAAACTTGTAAAATTGATCGTTTGAGTAGAAAAGAACTTCATCGGATAAATTATTTAAATCGATATTCATCAATTGTGCTTGTATGTACTGGAGAAGAATATAGATGGATTCGACAGAGTAGTATAATTATAACAGATAATGGAGATTTCTGCCACGATTAAGAACGGTGAAATAAAAAAAGAAAGTGCATGATGTATTCCTAAGTTAGCCTAAATCAAAACCTTAGTCTGTTTTAATTTCTCTCAACATGCACTCTGATTGAATAGGGTGAGATGTGTCGATAAATTACTTGATCCTAGGGATGCACTTTCAAGCTCACCGTTAAGACCGGTGAAAGCCGGTAAGTCTACGAAAGACCTACGGTGAAGGCCGGTGCATTGGTACCACCGGATCACACTAGTAGAGATATGTCATAATACTAGAAGAAACCGGCCTTCACCGTAGGTCTTTCGTAGTCTTACCGGCTTTCACCGTTTTCTCACCGTTGCATCCCTACTTGATCCTTTCCACTCTTTTTTGTCAGGATAAAATTTCAATTTTATATAATTATTATATATGACTCCTATTACTATCATATTTTAGCTTTTTCCTTGACAACAACATACTTTAATAACCTTCTACAACGTGCTGATGATTTCGAGAATTGGAGCAAATCATAACAGAAACCATTGAAAAATAAAATTGCTTGATTGCATCAGCCCTGAATTGACACCCAGGCGACCCAAGCAAGAGAAATTGAAAGTTAATGCGGTCTCAAAAATACTTAGAAACATTCACTAGGATCCGGTGGGATCTATAGGGATCCAATTGGATCCTGTGGAATCCATGGGATCCGTCGGGATCCACCAGGAGCCTCTGGATCCACTAGGAGCCGCGGGATCCATAGGGATCTACTGGGATCCGAGATCCGGGATCCGCTTTTCCCCCTTGCTTTCCGGTGAAGATAACAGAAGTTGACCATCGTTGCCTTCTATTGGAAAATGTTCAATATTCGCATGTCCACCTCGAAGACATCGGATTAATCTATAAGCAGTTGCTGGATCATTCTTCTTTACAGCCGTTTCGATGTCTTGGCTTCGTTTATCCCAATATTCAATTTTACGAGCTTCAATCTTCTTTTTTTGCAAGTGTTCTTAGTGACCGGTACTTCTGGTAGTGTCTTTGTTCTGCCTTGGATCCTTGGTGATTTTGCCATTCAAGAAATGCTTGTGCTTTTTTTCCACGACCTCGATGGTTTCACCCGTGAGCCATTCTTTACGTTGCGTATCGTTGTGATCTTGTTGAAAAATGTCTACACTTGCCTTCTTGACGTATTCCACAAATTCAGAGTACCTGCCGTTTATGCATATTGGATTACTGCTGGTTTCTGTTGGTCTTCTGTCCAGTTCTTTCTGAAATAACTCGATGCGATCGATATCTTTCATTTTTTATCTGTCCAGCCGTGATGGTCGCCGTTGATTGAGTTTTTTCCGACTTTTAAGATGGAATCGAAGTTTCGTTGGAAGGAGATGGTGATCTGTACCTATGATAGCAACTGCTAACCGATGAACACGAACATCTTCACCGATTGATCTGAATTTTTTGTTAACGATGGTGTCATCGATCATATGCCATTTTTTATTTCCAGGATGCATCCATGTCATTTTATGTATTGGTTTGTGTTCAAAGAATGTATTCGATATGACAAGATTGTTCATTGAGCAGAAACCTATTAAGCGTTGACCGTTTTCATTTATGTGATCTATTGCATGGAGACCAACGATGTTGCCACTTGTTTTATGTTGTTGTTTGCCTGCACGTGCATTAAAGTCACCCATAAGTAGTAGTAAATCATTTGATGGAACTTTATCGACGGTTCGCTGAAGATCGTCATAGAAAATTTCCACTGCATTAGTTTCATGTTGTTGACCATTTGGGTTCATGGGAAAGTATACGGCATTTATTGTAATATAGACTGGATCTGTAATAAGTCGAACCACTAGAATTCGTTCACTGATAGCTTCCCAAACGCTTCCACCGTTGTGCTATGCTATTTTTACTTGTTTATTTAAACACACTGCTACTCCATGAGCCAATCGTGTTTTGTTGTTGTTTGTTTTGCCTGAGTAGATCATAGTGTATTCACCAATGTTTTGAATGCCAGAATCATACAATCCCGTTTCATTGACGAGGGAAGGTCCCCAGGTGTTACGCTCCGTTTTGAATCGGACATATGCCATTTTGTAGAGCTCAGTGAGTATAGTACCTGGTATAAAGGGTTCGTCCCCATGGTGAACCTTTCAGGAACAACGAGGTCCCATACCTTCTAAAAAATCATCATAAAACGACTTGAATTGTAAAAATATTTTGATTTCAAGTTTTTTAGGCTTTTTGATTCAATAAATCATACTCGCCTATTCGTATTCATACGTCCCACTTAAATATGAAGTTTAAACTTACCTTTACTTATAATATTTTAAATATCATCAATTATATAAGTATAGAATATTCAAATATTTTCTCTAAAATTATTTTAAAGACTATTTGAGAACACTTTTTTTTATAAAACTAACCAAAAATCTTTTTGACTTTCGTATTCCAGCCTATGAGAATCTAACTAATCCCTTTTTTCACTGATTTTATTTGAACAAAATACTGCAAAAAGTATTAATAGAAATGATAAGCGACATAAAAATGTTTGAAGCATAATGTCTCTCGACAATGACTGCAAGCAATAAATGGGCTTTCATTGCAACGTCTATTTGAGCAACTTGTAGATTGAAAAGAGAAGCAGCGTCTATTACGTTGGAGAATTTTGGATGTTGTTGTGGGATGTAGCCAGAAGCTGACCATGCAAATGAGATCATTGGTCGAAACACACTGGAACTCAGTTGATTATGAACTAACGATTGTAGTTTGATGATAGCATCTCTACTTCTTAAATCAACATTGAGTTCGTCAAGAGAAACACGATGATACAATCTCTTGGTTAACTCTTTCCATTGTCTAAAAAAATAGACGTCACACGGCTGCTTGGTTGATGTGGTTTTTCTGGGTACCACCATGATTTTACATGATTGTCCTTTTGTTAAGTTGTTTTTATATGCTGAAATATCGGTTTGAGGTGACCACTGATCGACTAATAGAAGAAATCGATTGTTCGTAACTTTATCTAAAACTTCTCGAATCCTGTACTCTAATAAGGAACTGGTCAATTTGCCAGATTGGCTACAGGTCACGACGACATTAGAAGCTGAAAAAACGGTTTTTGTCATCGGAAATCGTCCTGTGGACTCCTGTAGACATACAAAAGCAGGATCGATCAGTTGGCATTCAGCACTGATTATTGGCATTACTGTGTACGAATGAGTCGAGGCGTTCAAGGACTGCACCGAAACATAAGTTGTCTTCTCTCCCACATATGATAATGTTCGATTTGACACCATTTCATAGTTGAAACTTGCTTGATCCGCATTCAATACGCTATCCAATTTGTATTTTGGTATAATGTTTGCAACTTCTTTGACAAATTCATCTCCTGTATTGGCAATAACATCGTTATCAATAAATTCACGACGAGAAATAAATTTTGTAACTTTTCTCGATGTAATACCATTGCGTCGTTTGAAATTAAGAAGCCAATGATGACTTGCCGTGAAATTATCTAAATTTTCTGTTTTCGCTTGAGACAAAGCCCATCGCTGGATGTCCGCATCGTGAACAGGTAAATTATTAGCATGTGCGTTCTTAACATTTTCCAATCAAAACAACTTCAAGCCGTTGTAAATTTTGTTTATAAGTACCATCATTTTCGACGTACTCTCGAAATCTTTGTAGTTGCGCTCGATATTTGACTCGAGGAAAATGATGATTTATAGTTGTAAAGGATACATCTCGACGAGCAAAGTCAACGACTTTCTGCATATAATCGAGACTAAATGCATCACCGTCGACTTCTCTTTCTTCTTGATTGTCTGTTGTTTCAATAGAATAGTCGGGATCAGCATCATCAAAGTCTGAGCATTCGAGGGAAGATTCTGTCTCGATATCATAATTGTCACTTGTAGAAAGTTCATTTAACAACGTGCTTAGATGAGATACAATTGACATTTCTTTCTCTGTAATATTTGTAAGCTGAGTATTTGACTTTGCGATGACTTCTTCCTGTAAACGTTTAGCAATATTAGCAATGTTTATCATGGTAAAATAATTTTGAAAATAATCAAGAAAAAATTAGTTAAGTGAGAATTATTTTTACGTCTTTATTTTGAGATCGTAGCACAACACCAAACGATGAAGAGACAAAAACAATAACTTAACAACAAAAATTAACGATGATCGAACAGCGACTGAAATCAACTGAACAACTGAATATAATGGAATAGAACAGAATGGAATGAGAACAGAACGACCAAAATAAAAACAAGGGCGTGTATATATACTAGAACAGTAGTTAGAGTAAGAATGAGAACCTACTTGAATGTTCTGGCCGGGCAAACTATTGAAAGAACAGAAAAGAGAGAGATTATGACGTCATGTATAATGACAGGAAGGAAAGAGAGAGAATATGTGTAAAATGATGAGGTAACGGAAAAAATGATTTATGACATTGTTGAACTTACAGGTGATAACTGGTAGAACGTTATATTTTTCTTTTCTAATAAAGCGAGTAAATGTGAGCATCTTTTGTGTCACATATTGGCGCATCATTTAGACAACTCTTGGATTAAGAATGGTGCTCTCAACGCCTGTAATATTTGATCCTTTCCAGATTAATAAAAAAAGTGTTCCCAAATAGTCTTTAAAATAGTTTTAGGGGAAATATTTGAATATTCTATACTTATATAATTGATGATATTTAAAATATTATAAGTAAAGGTATGTTTAAACTTCATATTTAAGTGGGACGTATGAATACGAATAGGCGAGTATGATTTATTGAATCAAAAAGCCTAAACAACTTGAAATCAAAATATTTTTACAATTCAAATCTTTTTATGATGATTTTTTTAGAAGGTATGGAACCTCGTTGTTCCTGAAAGGTTCACCATGGGGACGAACCCTTTATACCAGGTACTATACTCACTGAGCTCTACAAAATGGCATATGTCCGATTCAAAACGGAGCGTAACACCTGGGGACCTTCCCTGTAAGATTTACTCTGTCGGTACAATGTCATAGACACTCTTCAGCGTCTTTCTTTTTACATATAGAAATTTTTATCGATTTTTTATCCTCCAATGTAAGAGACGGGAAAATAAGTGAGAAAAAACTGGTAACGAACATATATCTCCTATTATGGTCGAGATTTCTTCAATAGTGAAGACGATATTAGGAATCTTTTTTTCCAAGTGCATTGAAGTTTAGTACAAGAGAAAGAACTGAAAATGTGTTGAAAACTCTCAAGGCCAGAAAGGAAAGCAGAAAAACGTAGAAAGAGCAGTCGTTAAGGCCAGATATTTTCTTCCTCGACAAAGCCCATTTTTTTCTTATGAAATAGTCACATTAGATCTTAGAAATTTTTTAATGCTGAAATTAGAACGATACAAGGTGCTTACTGTGACTGCGGCTCTTTTTTTATCTCATGATCATATACTTATATCAGCCATTAACACTTATCGGAGTTAACTGCCGATTGTGACCCGTACCGTTGGACCGCTAAGTAGAATTATATGTGATTCGACTGTCCTTTGACAGTGTTACAAGACGCATAAAAAACCGAAAAAAAATTATTGGCAGTTATGAGTCATTAAGGATCCTATTGATCATCCCTATGCGTCATGTATTGTTTGCGATGATATATCTTATATTAGGACGTAGGGTTGTTGTCGATGAAGAGAGAGAGTGCTTCTTCAAATGGCTTATCAATTGATAGCTCTTTATCACAGGTAGTAGAATGTGCTGGAAGAACAGATAAAAGAAAATGATAGCCCTGTGTTACGTTGCAAAGATGAGCATTTCCATGGCGAGAAGTCAAAGAAAGACTCCTACAGTGTCCATGTAATTTTTTCATTATACCATAATTCAAAAGTTACGTGAACAGTGTATGGTCCTCACTTGACTTGTTATCATGGTGATGCCCATCTCTATTTCATTGGGAAGAATACATGTACGCATTGTGATTGACATCAGTATATAGGATGATGCGACTTATTTTGGGAGCATTTGTCTTCTAGGATGTAGTGTAAAATTAGAAGAAAATGTGCTAATAATCACGTGGAACTATTGCAGTTCTACAGATACTGGCTATTAGGGTTGCTGCAGATGTATCACTTCCACCATATCGTTTCTATCATATGAATGTTGGCAAGACAACAGTGATCGCATGACATTAGTTCGTTTCATCAATTTAATGTTTGATGGTAGTTAACTATGGAACATCTGTGTCTCAAGAAATCATGAACAGGCTAGTAATAGAGACTAGCCAGTGCAATAAAAGAAAAATGTACATATTGTTGACTTTCACTGATCAATCATTTCTAAAAATAATCCATCGAACTTCTGCATGTCTTGTCTTTCAATAGTCACAACTGACTATTAGCGTAGTTTCCCCTAATGTTATGCGACATTCTAACAGACAAATGCTACGACAGCAACTCGTACAAGCGTACATGCTGACGGCAATCACAATACAAACATCTGTTCTCTCCAGTGGAACACATGCCTAACATTTTCTTTTATATATTCCTTCAGCCAACTCTACTACTTAAAATAAAAAGCTATATATTCATAAATGATTCGAGAAAGTGCTCTATCTTCGTCGACTACAACTCTACGTACTAATATCAGATATATTATCATAAACAATATACGATACATAAGAGTACTCAATAGGAGTCTTAATGACTTCCAGGAATCAATAATTGTTTTTTGAGTATCTTGTAGAACTATCAAAGGACGTTCGAATGATATATAATTGAACTTTGCAGTCGAGCTCCATCGTTCACAATTATTTATACTAATATCACATATATCATCATAATGACTATATGATACATAGGAGTGAGCAATAGAATCCTTAAAGACTCATACAAGTCAATAATTTATTTTTGAGTATCTTGTAGTACTATCAAAGGGCCCTCGAATCATATGTAATTGAACTTGACAGTCGAACTCAATTGCTCACAATTATTGATACTAAAATTATATATATATCATCATAATGATTATATGATAGATAGGAGTGAGCAATAGGACCCTTAATGACTCATAAAAGTCAATAATTTGTTTTTAGTATCATGTAGCACTATCAAAGGGCGCTTGAACGCTATATAATTGAACTTGGCAGTTCAACTATATAGCACTATCAAAGGGCGCTTGAATGCTATATAATTGAACTTGGCGGTTCAACTATATAGCTCACAATCGGCAGTTGACGTCGATAATTGTTAATAGCCCATATGAATGCACGATCATGGAGTATAAGTAAGAGTCGCAGCCAGAGTAAGTACCTCGTATCAGTCTGATTTTAGTATTAAAAAATTTCTAAGGTCTAATGTGACTATTTCATAAGAAAAAATGAGATTTTTCGAGGAGACAGATTTCTAGTCTTAGGGACTCCCCTTCTTCCCAGCTTCTTTGTAATATATAATCTTAAGTTTATTTACCAGAGACGGATCTTGTAGTTTATGATTGAAGTCAGTCATATCTATGTTGAGTAAATATTAACTTATGACCGTTTCAGTGGATTTTTGATTCGAAGTAAGACATTCATGGAAAAATCAAACGATGATATTTTATGTAAACTTTTGCTTATAAAGAACTCTCATGGCTTGATTTTTCTTTGAAATATAGTCGTTTTCTTTAGCTATCCAATATGTGAATGATAAAGTATTCGTGTTGGCTTGGATTTTTCAGACATTCTAATAACTATGACAGCTCTTTATGTGCAGAGTTTTAGATCAAAATACCATCGTTTGATTTTTCTATGAATACTTTATTTCGAATCGAAAATCTAGCGAAACCAACATAAGTGGACTTCAACGGTCTATGGACATGAATTCTTTCAGATTTTAGCTATTGAGATTAAAGTCAACTTGTGGCCAAAATATAAGCTTTAAATGGAAGAAACACTTTGAGTAATTTTTGTAGTTTTTTATCTATTATCTGAGGCAGAAGAACAATTTTCTTTTCGCAAATCGCTTATTATGAAATTCGTTTAGGGATATCTTTCTAGTCACTACATCATTTTATACTATATGAGAAATTTCTTATTAGTATTAGAAAAATTTTGGTAATTTCTAGTTAAATTTTTCCTTTTTATGATTATTTCAGGTAAAGTCTGTGGAATTTCGGAAGTGAATATAATAACTTTCTGAAGGATACAGATGTGAGATGCTCAACAAGCATGCTCGCATCTTATGTAGCTTTTCATTGAGATGTGTTCACGAAAGAGTTCAACTTTCACAATTCTATTATTCAAGTCCATGCTATTCTTTTAACCGACTGTGCTTCTCTAGCACTAACCAGTTTGTTTGCTTGAGCAAAATAAGCTAAAAACGTTTCTCTAATTTGCTTCATTATTCATAAATTCATTTATAATTGACGACATAGTTTCGATCACATACGGTAAAATCTTATAACAATTATTTAGGTCTGTTATAAAAATATACCAACTGCAAGTGAAACAATTCCACAAAGTCATTCAATGCGCACCGAAAACTTAGACTTTGTTCGTTGTAGAAGCTTATTAATCAGTGTAGTTATTATTAGTGGATTTCTGATTGTATTATTGACCAGTATTGTATTTAAAAATCTTACTATTCCACCCATGGTATGAAAAAATAAAATCATTATTGATATCGAACATAAACCTGCATTTATTGATTCTTCCAGTCATCTGCAATCAGTTTTGTCACCTAATCTTCGATGGTGTACTGCTAATCCATTTTTAAAACCTTATAATCAAAATGTAATACTTGATTTAGAACTCCAATGGATCTTATGGAAACGCAGTTAACTACTCCTTACATATCAGATTTTGAGAGACTATGCACTCAAAATTGGAGATCGGAGTGGAAGTATGGTTCATCTTGCGTATCCATCGTCACTGCTATTGCCTTGTCCCTATAAAAATAACCTGACTCGTCTTGGTGGAGTTCATGATGGTAACAAGATATTATGTGGGGTCGAAATTTTGAAATCATTTACTAATTGTGTCGTATATAGTTTGGGTTCTTTCAATAATTTCAATTTTGAATTTGACTTGCTCAAGCAAACATCGTGTGTAATTCATACATATGATTGCACGAGTCCACCACCAGGAACACCAATAGATCGATTGACTTTTCATCAAATTTGTTCAGGCGATGCATCAAAGTTGCAAAAATTTATGTATCCTTATAACCCACAGTCAGAAAATCGAATATTCAACAATGCATCACGTTTCAAAAGTTTTGATAAAATATTGAAAGAAAATAAGCATCAAGAAGTTCATATTCTTAAGATGGATATTGAAGGAGGAGNTCTCTCGATTAGTTGATTTTTCAACAGCAGATACATTTAATATTCCATCATATCCAACATCAAATGTAACTTCAATTTTTGATACAGCACGTGGTGCTGGTGGAATACCAGTCAATTCAAAATTTCCTAGTAAATGATTGTCTTTTGTCATGGGGCGTTCACCCAAGGGGGAAAAAGCGGATCCCGGGATCCACTGGGATCCATTGGGATCCATTGGGATCCAATAGGATCCAATGGGATCCAATGGGATCCACTGGGATCCAATGGGATCCACTGGGATCCAATGAGATCCACTGGGATCCAATGGGATCCACTGGGATCCAATGGGATCCACTGGGATCCAATGGGGTCAAAATGTGCAGTACAAGAACTACAATGACCATTACGCAATGTACTCATTACCTCTGACTATCTATGTGATATTTTCAATATTCGATTACTAAGAAAAGATAATACCATCTTTCAGCACATGGGACTAGAACCATTAAGACATTCAGTTTTGCATTCTGCTTTATGATTGTGCATGCACATTAGTATTTTTTTTAATATTCTATTAGTTCTCAACAATACAGGCGACGATGATAGAAAATCCCTAACTTCTGCTATTTTTACAATGATTTGTGCTTGTATATTGACTACATCTTTGTGTTCAAGTGAAGGTTTCTAATAGTGCCATCAACAAACTATGCCTTACAGCAATTCGTTTGGAAATATAACTCGACCGTTATTTAAAACATTTTATTCAGATATATTCCTAGTTACTTGAACAAAAACAAAGGAAATCTAAATTAATTAACGTTGTTGATTTGTCTGTTGAACTCGTGTTCGTCTATCTGATGATAAGCAGTTTTTATTTATAGTCAATAGGCGTGCTGCCGTTTGCTTATGGATAAATTTTGACTTATTATTAATGATAATTTGAAAATAATGAGACTTTTTCGACGGATCAATTTGATCATAAACTCTCATTCCTTCAAATGTCTCCTTCGCACTTGTCACACAATAATCATTTGCATCATCTTCATCTGAACAATAGTCATTCGCTTCAAAATTTGTTTCGGTAAGTTCATTCGCAATTTCACTATTACTACTATCATTATTATCTGGACTGTCTTGAAGATCTTCTTCATTAAAATAAGAATAATCTACTGTTGATTTTCCAGTAAGTTGTTGAAAAACAAATTCATTAAGTGTTATGAAATCATTTAAATTGTTTTCCTTGAGTGTTCTTGTTAATTGTAAACTATCCATAATAGATTCTGCTTTACGGTAAGCTTTAATAATTATTTGTTCTATATCATTAGTTGTTATTGTTGAAGTAATTGGAGTATTTGTAGATATGGTTATTCCTCTATGTCGACTTTTGTGATGAACAGGAAATTTTAATGAATGGGCATCATCATTGGCCTCCTCTGTAGACTTTATTTCATTTAAAATTGAAATTTTTCCAATTTTCTGTAAAAACTCGAATACAAAGAAATTTGTTATGGACGAAAGAATACCAGTCATAGCCCGAGCACTGCGGAATGTCGCCTCGCAAGGTTGACTACTAAAAAGATGTGTATTAATTGCATAAGATGGTAACCGTCCTTCAGCTACTAAAATTATTATTGCTGTTAAACAATGAACATTTAACTCCGATGATAACCAAGCAGCTCGTGTAATAAAACAATTATCTTTTTCCTTTTGAGAAAAATTTCGTTTGATTTGAAGACTACTCCTAAAATGATAACTGAAAAGAACAAAAAAAAACATTAGACAATATTTTTACCACCACATTCGATAAGAGAAAGTCACTATCCAACCATAGTATAAACGGGCAAGAATATCAGTATCTGCCTTAACATAAGTAAGAATTACTAATTTTAATAAATATAAATAAACATAAGTAGCTGAAGCATTTATATGCTTTAGTAAATTTAAAACGTCATCGGATGTTATCTTTACGCATGAAGAATAATTTTGTCGATCATGAGGGAAAATATCTGATTTTACTAGATTGTGATCGATCTTCGGATAATTCTGAATTATATAAAATAAATGATTTACATCTATTTTTTCATTATTAATAGACATAGTTGCTGTTTCTGATAAAAGACGATTTCTGATTTTTGTGACAAGATGTATGCCATCTTGCATACAAAGATATGGTTGAGTTGGTCTTATGAAAAAAAAATTCCAATGCGATGCAATATTGATTTCAAGTAAACTACTATTGCCAGTTAATAAATCGATATTTGGTGCTCGAGTGAAGAAACCTAAAGACAATTGCATAGCTTTCAGGTAACGTGAATCACAATCAGTTGAAAAACCAACAACGCTAATATTTCTTTTTTTACATTCATGATACAAATACATCCATTTTCGAAGAACATCTATAGCAGTATATTTATTGTTTGTTCCATAAGCAGACAGAATAAATGGTCGTGAATGAACTAATGATGAAGTATTTCTTATTAGAGGTTCAATTAAATGTGCATTTATTAGTGTAGATTTATCGAAGTCTTCGAACCATTGCTGCAATTCAGTATAACTATTGGTTTGAAATTGATCAACAGAAGGTAAACCATTTACTAACTGAGGAGAAAATCCAATAAAGCAATCAGTTTTACTATCGTAAGATACCGAACTAATGACACTAGTTGAGTCTTCTGACTATAAAAAGAAAGTATTCAATTAAATCTTATAATTACTATTAAAGAAAAAAATGAATTCTAATGAACTCCGATATATTCTAATGGATACTAATGAATTTTGATTAATCTTAAGAGAAACCCAAAAAAATGTACTAATATTTACGACAGGAATCTGTAAGAATTCGCTAAAGACCATTTTGTTTCGGGATATAAATAACTGCTTATTTTCATTATCAGTCCCTATTCTTGCATGTTGATAAATTCTGATCAACCCATGTAGATATTAATAGGAATCTAATTTATTTTTTTCTATCATATCGTGCATTACTTCAAAATACCTACCACAAATACATGATTAGAATCAACGAATACTAAATGGTCTTTGAGAGAATCAAATCGAAATTCACATTCACTTAATTGCAAATTCATATTTTGATTATAAGATTTTAATGTAGTAGTAGAAGGTAGAGATCCTGGTAAATTAAGTCGAATGAATTCATAGGCATTGTTTCCAGCTAATATGTTGAAAACTGATGCAAATTTATTAACGATAGGATCAAATTGGTAATTATTACTAGATCGTGTCATATTCTTCAACAGATTGCTAACAAAAATATTAATAAATGCTTTTGATTGATTTGATTGATAAATATCTATCAAATGACACATACAATGAGTTGTTTCTTTAGTTACATTGGTTGTTGTTTGAGAGGAAACAAAATCCTCATTATGTGATGTTGATTTATAATATTTTCTCAAAGTTTCAATAAATTGCTCCAAATTAGATTTAATTCCTGGTCGTACAATATACTGCAAATCATCCGTGACAAAACAAGCTCGTTCTTTTAGTTTAAATATATCTTTAGAATTTATTTGCAAAAATATAAAGACATCTGGTACTTGTAATAAAATTCGAACATTTTTTATACGTTGTATTTCTAAAATTTCACTTTCTACTTCGCCAACAAATTCTTTGACAAATGCATAGAAAACATTATCAGAATAGGATGAGATATTTTCCAGAAATGGCAATAATTCCCGTTCCATACTAGCCATAGCTATTAGATAGTGAAAAACTATCTATAACAATTATTTAATAGTTAGAGAATTGTCTTGGTTCTAATAAAATCGTTCAAAATAAATAACTCTTTCGAAAAATTTAATTATAACTTTATTTAGGATAATTTAATTACACATAAAAGTAAGAGAAGAACAAAAAGTATAAGTATGTACATCCAACACTCAAAATAGAAGTTTTCAAATTTAAATAAATACTATATAAAAAATAAATGCTATATAAAAAAATAAATACCAAATAAAAAATAAATACTGTGTAATAAATAAATGACAAGAATATGGAAACACTAATATTCAAATCCTCTATTTAGTAATACTCTATTATGCTTTTTTCTTTGTAGTGTTCGATGATGATGATGATGTTGGTCGTTTTTTACTAATAGAACAAGAGTTGCTTGAGATTGAGGTGTTAGTAGCAATTTGAGAACTATCATTATCATCATTCAAGCTTTCTTCGTCGAAATCATTGCAATCGTTCATATCACGAAAAGTTTTGTTTTGCAACAAATCGTCTAATAATTTATCGTTTTTATTTAAATTTTGAATAAATACTTGTTTCTTTTTTTTTATCATAGAACAATGACTAGTCTTTAGATGTTTGAAATACGAAGACAGTTGAAATGAATTACGATTTAGACGAAAACCAAGCTTAATTATTGCACTACAACCACACTTTATTTGTCCATCTATGTTCGCATCTAATAAAGTTAAAAATATAGTATAATCAACGTTGTTTTTTAAAATTATATTTGTAAAAGTATTTATAGAAAATTTTTCGATACTATTGGAAATCAAATCGATGTAATCATTGATTGGGAATAAATTAAGTGCTATTGCTGGTGTTGATGTTAACGATGAATCGACAGAATCAGAAATCATTATATTTGATAAAGATGTATTGGAATTAGGACGATTTGTTGCGGACGATAATGATGATGATGATTTGAAGTTTTTTTTTCGTTTAATATATTTGTTGCTCTTCTCTTTAAGTGTTGCTATTAAATTATCGATACCAGCTTTGATTCCTGACTTAACCATAATGTTTTTATTATTGTCTTCATCGACAAAACAAATACTATTTTTAAGATCAACAAGTTCTTTACAATTAACACTAAATATAGCAAAAACATCTGGTACATTTAACAATGTTCGAATGTTTTTAATTGATTGTATTTTCAGTAAATTCATTTCATCGACACCTAAACAATCCTCTATAAACTTGTAAAATTGATCGTTCGAATAGAAAAGAACTTCATCAGGTAAATCATTTAAATCGATAATCATCATATCTGTTGTACTTGTTGGGCGAGAAGATGGACGTGTTTGATAGAAATATTATAATTATGACAGATAGTGGTGATTTCTGTAACGATTAAGAACGATGAAATAAAACGAGCAAGCGCATTAAGTATTATTGAGGTGGTCTGAATCAAAACCTAAGTCTGTTTTAACTTATTTCAACATGAACCCTAATCGGGCAATGTGAGAAGTGCTGATGAATTATTCAATATTTTCCACTTTTTTCTCGGAAAAAAAACTCTATTTTATATTATATATATGATTCTTGTTACCTAAAATGTTTTAGCTTTTTGATCGAAAAAAATAAACTTTCTAACAGCTTACAATAAGGTGCTAAAAATTCCGAAAATCTTTCTAGTGAAGAAGATCATAAGAGAGAAAATCGGCAACCGAAAACATCGGAAAATAAAATTGCTTAACTGCATCAGATCTTAATCGACACTTCTGTCAGTCATGCAAGAGAAATTGAAAGCTAATACAGTTTCAGAAATATATAGAAACATGCATTAGAATCTATTGGGATCCAATGGGATTCAATGGGATCCATCGGGATCCATTGGGATCCATCGGGATCCATTGGGATCCATCGGGATCCATTGGGATCCATTGGGATCCATCGGGATCCATCGGGATCCATCGGGATCCATTGGGATCCATCGGGATCCATCGGGATCCATCGGGATCCATCGGGATCCATTGGGATCCGGGATCCGGGATCCGCTTTTTCCCCCTTGCGTTCACCTTCAAAAACTTTAATATCAACACTAGACTGATTATCTGAATAGGTTGTAAATGTTTGTGTTTGTCGTGTTGGAACAGTTGAACCACGTTTAATCAATGTTGTCATCACCCCACCAGCTGTTTCAGTTCCCTATTTGAGAAAAAAGAACAGAAAGTTAATAAAGAAAATTTGTATTTTTGTGTTGTTTATTTCTTACTAATGAAAGTGGTGTAACATCGAGTAATAGTACATCTTTAACTTCATGGGATTTATCACCTTTTAAAATGGCTGCTTGTACAGCTGCACCATAAGCGACAGCTTCATCAGGATTAACAGATTTATTTAATTCTTTCCCATGAAAGAAATCTTGAAGTAATTTTTGTACTTTTGGAATACGTGTTGAACCACCCACGAGTACTATTTCATGAATATTTGACTTATCCATTTTAGCATCACGTAAAGCTTGTTCAACTGGTTCAAGTGTTGAACGAAATAGATCAGCACATAGTTCTTCGAAACGAGCTCGTGTTATTGCTGTGTGAAAATCAATACCTTCATGTAGAGAATCGATTTCAATTGTTGTTTGAGATGATGTTGATAATGTTCGCTATTTAACCAAAAAAAGAAACACAAGGAATTTAATATTTTCTAGTAAAAAACTAAATCTCAACTTACTTTAGCTAGTTCACATGCCGTTCTCAAACGTCGAAGAGCGCGTGCATTTTGTGATACATCTTTATCAGTTTTTCTTTTGAATTCTTGTATAAAATATGTAACTAAACGATTATCAAAATCTTCACCACCTAAATGTGTATCACCGGCTGTTGATTTTACTTCAAAAATACCATTATCAATAATAAGTATCGATACATCAAATGTACCACCACCCAAATCAAATATCAGAACATTTTTGTCACCGATTGTTTTTTTTATCTGAACCATAAGCTATTGCTGCTGCTGTTGGTTCATTGATAATTCGTAAGACATTAAGACCAGCAAGCATACCAGCATCTTTTGTTGCTTGTCGTTGTGCATCATTAAAATAGGCTGGAACAGTAACAACAGCATCTTGAACTTTTTTTACCAAGGTAATCTTCAGCAGCTTCTTGCATATTAGTTAAAACCATCGATGAAATTTCTTCTGGTGTAAATAATTTTGTTTCATTTTTATATTGAACTTGAATTTTTGGTTTTCCACTATCATTAATTACTTTAAATGACCACTGTTTCATATCTGATTGTACAGTTGAATCATCAAATTTACGACCAATAAGTCGTTTAGCATTAAATATTGTATTATTAGGATTCATAGCTACTTGATTTTTAGCTGCATCACCAATTAAACGTTCACTATCCGTAAATGCAACATAAGACGGTGTTGTTCTGTTACCTTGATCATTAGCAATGATTTCAACTTTACCATGTTGAAATACACCGACGCACTATAAAACAAAAAATAAAGAAAAGTTATTTTAATAGATAAAAATTAAATAAATTATGAATAACTTACTGAATACGTCGTTCTCAAATCTATACCAATAGCGCGAGACATTTGTATTTAATGCAATGAAATATTTCGATTAATTGACTATGTTCCATTATGATTTTTAGACATGATTTATATACCATTTTGATGAATAGATTCCAGGACAATGTAGAAGATCCTAGTATTGACGAGAAGAATCTCGAAGGCTAGACTAATGAAAAGGGAAATAAAAGATGTACAATGACTGACGAGCTGATGTAAGATTTATAGTTTTGCAAACTTTTCGTGATCTATGTGCAATAGTGAAACCATACACAGTTGTCATTCGTCGATCAGATACATGAATGTGTATGCATTAAATGCGTCATCTTCTCAGAGGAAAAAAATAAAAAGTTTATTATAAATAATATCTTTTTTTTCATAAGATTTGAAAAGGGAAAAGAAGTTTTTTAATGTTGATATTGAAAGTATATTTAATTCAGTTAAAGCCGAAAAGAGCGTGTTGAACAAAGAAAAAACACAGGAGCGGTGCTGATAGATTATTGCACTAAAGCAAAGACAGAGCTTTTCAAATACTGATAATCATTAAAATCGAAATGGATCCCTCTCTAAAACGTCTTCCAAGTTCGACTCGATTATATAGTATTTGTTATTTGTCCTTTTTTGTCTGAGATCCAAAAGTTGTAATTTCTATTTGTTTTTTTATTTTTTATATCAATTCAACTCAACCATAACATGAATCTATCGATATTTTTTTTTATTACTAAAGCATTTAGTTTATGTAGGACATACGCAGCGAAGTGACAAGGTTCCAGTAGATTCAAAAATTTGCTTTGCCTTTTATTAAATGAACACATGAAGAAGAATCAAATGGAAAATCTCAGCCAAATGAAGTAGATTCTAACGTTTTTTTTTCGCCTTCAGCAACTAAGTTTACAAGCCTATAAAACATTGTTTATAGTGAATAAATTCACAAAATATAGCATCTGCTTTTTTTGAGAGCATTTCATCTTTTCTATTGGGGTGTGAGGGTATAAAAGAGATCTAATACCCATATCCAAACCCAGACTCAACACCCGCTCGCATACACCTGCACTCACACCCCACCCTTCCGGGGATCCCCTCCTACTGAACACGTGTGCATGACATCGTCAAAGTGACCAAAAATCCAGGTACGCATTTATTTTCAACCATTACGAAAGACAATACAGTCACTATTCAGAGAGCCCATATGTTTCATTACGATCAAACTGCAACGCAGTCGTCAAAAAAGTGGCAACATGGGAAGATTCGCCAGTTCTGTGTTCGCAAACGACTCTGCACTTGTGACGAAATATTGTTGTCCGAGAGCCATAAAGAGATGAGAGTCTGTGAGAAAAGTACACAAACTTAAGAGAGACAATTGGACCACTGTGTTAATCGTGTTCTGTTCTAAAGCATTAGCGAGATCTTGTACCCCTTGGTCTCCTATTTGATTTTTTCCAAGGTTAGGGTTCGATAGTGTCTGTATCAAGTTAAAGATAATCCAGAGAGATAAATGTAGAGAACGGGATCTACTGTGTTATTTGTGAGAGCACTGGCAAGATGACATGCTCCTTCAACTCCTTTACGATTGTTATCAAGATTAAGACTTGATAGTGCCTCGTTGAAAGTAAAAATCGCTAAATGAGCAAGGTGACTAGACGATCATGTTTACCATGTTCTCTATGCGAGGGTGTTGGTATGGGTGTTGGTGTTAGAAAAGAGAAGAATGGAACCAAGACCCACACCCAGAGGCATCCACAGTCACAGCCGCACCTTTATCGTCTGTTGAAGATGTTGATGTAAGTGGCATTAAGACACTCTCAGCCATAACGACACCTTTATAGTACTCTAAGACTCTCAACGGGTATTCAATGTGATGTGGATTTGGGTTTCAATGGAGGTGTGAATCTTTTTTCTTCCCATCCACAAGACATCCATGTTGTGTCAATATTAGCATTAGGCTTTGCTCTTGTAATTTATTAGTGTTTGTTTGTCCTCGCCACGTTCTTATTTTTCTTATTGATATCAGGACTACTCACTTGTGTTATCAATTTCAGTTTGGTGGCAATTTTGGAGATAAGAAGAATTGAAAATAACCAATTCCTAATTGTATACGCTTGCACAAGACTGTTGCAAAATTTTATCTTTTGAAACTCTACTGATATGTAAAACGACATTCAGAAATACTATTTTATTTTTTCTAGTAAACGAAGATCGGTGCATCGATCTTTCTATTTGTTAAGATACAATTTTTTAATCATCTGTGTTTTGGAAAATGACTAGGCTTTTTAAAAATATTACTCAGCAGAGGTTCAAACAGGCCGAGTTTTCGTAGGCCTGCTCTGCCCATGACAAACTATACACCTCGTCAACCTGCCTTGGTGTGCGTGTGAGGTCTATTCAAAGAACATGCACACGCACACCCAGCAGAAGGTGAGCCTGTACTCTTTTATTTTGAAGAACATTATATAGATATTCAAAGTTGTTTATCACGCCCAAGAAAAGCAGCAACATTTGATATATTATTGTGGAACGTGAACGACAAGACAATTCAAAGTCAACATCGTACGAACAACGTCGTCGAAGGCTGGAAAAATAGATTCTAGTCGTGAATAAATTGCAAATATCCAAATTTTTTGGAAAATTTTAAATGGTTTAAAAAAGGAATAAAGTTATGTTGATGCTGAAATTATACAAGTAGATGCTGGTGTTAGACAATCACGTCCAAAAGATCATGTTCGTCAAGAAATACGTATTTTAAATATCCTGAATGAACCAACAACAACAGCCTTTGAAAAACTGATGGTTTCAGCTTAGATTATTTCATTGAAAAATTCATAAGATACTTTGTATGTTATTTTGTAAAAATGATGCTTGATGATATATCTAAGTTGTAAATATTCTTATTTTGTTTTTTTTTCTAATAATAATAAGTGTGTTGTATTATTATTGCTTATTTCTAATTGTATAATAAGTTGTGTGCATTATCTATACAGTACTGGGTAAAATTTTTTGGATGATTTTGTTTTGAGTATGACTATCTTATTAATTAAGCTTCTCAGGCACAGCTTGCTTGAAAATTTCACCCGTAAATATTGATTTATTATGGAACTGAACGTATAACTGTGAGTAGCTGTCACTTTCTGTTGGATGATTTTATTTGGATGATACTTTAACTTGAGTTATTTTTTTCCACAAATGTTTCAGAAGAACTAAATCTCTATCAAGGGAAAGAGAAGACACAAGCTACATTTTGAATACTAAAACTTTCTAAAAGTAAAATGTTTATGAAGTGAAATGTTTATTTTATCACAGACAACTGAACATGTTTATCTGAAGTCTTTATCACTTTTATATGATAAGCCATTTTTCTTTCCAAATATTGCATTCGAACGAGTGTCAGGCGCTACAATTTTCTCAGAAAATGATCTCTCAAGACCCAAAACCGTTTTTTATTAAAATTTAAATAGTCTTCTATCTTATGCAGCGCCTGACACTCGTTCGAATGCAATATTTGGAAAGAAAAATGGCTTATCATATAAAAGTGACAAAGACTTCAGATAAACATGTTCAGTTGTCTGTGATAAAATAAACATTTTACTTTTAGAAAGTTTTAGTATTCAAAATGTAGCTTGTCTTCTTCTCTTTCCATCGATAGAGATTTAGTTCTTCTGAAACATTTGTGGAAAAAAATAACTCAAGTTAAAGCATCGTCCAAATAAAATCATCCAACAGAAAGTGACAGCTACTCACAGTTATATGTTCAGTTCCACGATAACTCAATATTTACGGGTGAAATTTTCTGTGAATGTAGTATAGGCGATGCCTGGAATTTTCAAGCAAGCTGTGCCTAAGAAGCTTAATTAATAAGATAGTTATACTCAAAAAAAAATCGTCCAAAGAATGTTGTTCAGTACTGTATATTGATAACATAAAGTGTCTATTATTAAATTGTGAATTTCTTGACTTAAATTGAATAAATTTGCATGTTGCTCTTGTAATCAATAACAGTTCTGCTAAGTCCGACTGGGGAGCAAGTGTCGCGGGAGTAACTGTCGCGGGAGCATCTGTCTGGAGAGCAACTGGCATGAAATCAATTCTTGGCAGCAAAAATTCAGACATCTCTACTATTTCTCAAATAAAACAGAAAAGACAAGAAAGAAAAACGTAAATTTACTAGCACATTAACTACTAACAGCAGGTTACATTATGGTTTGTGTCCAAGCTCTCTTGTTCACTTGGTTTGAACATATCAGAGAAAATAAAATAAGGATGCACAGGTGCACCAATCATTCTGAGACCCACTGTATGTATGCCTAGCATTCCAATTTATTTCATGAAGCTTTCTCGAAACCTTTATATATTATATTGAAAACCAGTAATGGTTTGATTTTCAGATTTAACTCTTGGAATATTTCCTGTTTTCTGCGTTAGACCATAATGCTTTGTCAACCATGAATTCATTTATCTTATTCGCAGTAGTTAACACGCCACTCTGATCAGTCAATAAATATTTGGATCGAAAGAAAATAATCTTTTAAATGGATGATATAACTACGCAGCTCGTTGCATCAGTCGACCAAAAAAACTATTTTTGACAAAACTTTCAGAGAGATATAATGTCATCCGTTATGTTTTGAATAGTACAACATTATTTATATACCATAGAGAATGACTTTCTGTATAACAATCGTACGGTATTTCGTTGAATTTTTACGTGTAGTTTTCCAAGATATGCAGATGACCAAGACTAATTTAATCTTGATAAACAACCTCTATTGTTTCTTTCCTTTACATGTAAGTTGATTGTCTGGAAAAGAATTCGAATGTAAAAGCTTGCTCTGTGTGATGTATTATCATTAGCTCTGCCTTTCAATATAGAAATCCCAATTGAAAACCCAAATTCGAACTCTGAGACCGAACCTGAACCGCAAACTATTGGGTCCAAACTCGAGTTCGAGTTTGCTGCATGCCTACTTCCGAGCTCTTAGTTGGCAGTTTTCTTTTTGCGTTCTGAAACATTCACAATGAGTTTTTTTTTC